GCTCAGGGCAGTTAAAACGATGATGTATGAAAAAAGAAAAAAACTGGGCACATGCTTGGTTCATATGAGCATTTATAAATTTAGCCTCTCAGTGAAAACCTTTGGGAAAGGCACAAATTCTAGAGAAAAACCTACCGAAGAAAAAGTTGGCCAATCAATTCATTATTGGCTGTACTTCTGTGATTTCAAATTGGTCCTACTGGTCCCAGTACTTTTTTCCCTGGGCATCTAGTTCTCTAGCTTTAGCTGCTCTGTTGTATAATTCCAGATTTCTAGCCAGAAAGGAAATGAGGAAGAAATAAGAGAAGGGAGGAAGAAGGAGGGAGAAAGAGGAGGCGAAAAGAGAGTGGGAGGGAGGGAGGGAGGGTGAAAATCTCTATTTCATGTTACTTGCCACTACAGTTTGAGAAATGGGAAATTAACAAAATGAATATAAATATTGCTGGTCAAGCATCTGAGCCCGTTACAAATCTCTGCATAGCAATATGTATTCTTTTTCTATATGAGCTCTCATTCTAGCTTTTGTCCTTTCTCTCCCACTCAATCTGTTTCTCATACTCTTTCCATATAATTACAGTAGAAACAAAATTATAACCCAGAAGAGGATGTAGCAATATGTGTGCAAAGTTGATCTTGGAAAACCAATAAGACATAAAATAAAAAATAAATCCCAAACAGGTCTTTTTATTTAACATAAGGCCAAAGAAGCTATCAGGCGTTGCTGAATACTGTCCACTAACTGTACAAAATATTGACTGCATGCCTTGCAAACACCAAAATATCCGCTGGAATGCCATAGAAATAAATAACTTCTGCTATAAACACATGAAAACATATCAAACTGTTATCTCTTTAAACATATTGTAAATAAAAAATTACCAGTACTTCTACACAATAAATATTAAGAAACCATTGACATAGTTGAAATGCACTCATATAAATTAACAACTTTAATTACATTAGCCAAACAGACATTGGTTAAAGAACTGCATGTAGTATGTCAAAAAAATAAACAAAATAAGAACAAACAAACAAACAACATCAACCACAGAACATAAAAACTTTTAAAACAAAACAGGCTTCAGGTTATCTTGGCTTTCATGATTATATTTTTCTTTTAAAGAAAAATATCAACCCATTGTCAATGCACTGTTTTTTCAAAACATTTAAATAGAGGGTAAAACCCATTGGAAATAATACAGAAGAAATGATTCACTCTATGCATAAAAATAAATAATATAGCTGAGAATGTGGTTTGTTTCTGTTCTTGAAGATGTGAACAGCTTCTAAGCATTCATTTTCTCTGACCCATACAACAGCTTCTCAGTGACAAAGGGTTTAATTTAAACACAGACAATGTCCACCCCCAAACCTTCTGCCCACATCTACAAGTTTCATTTATTGTGTAGGTTTTCAGGGTGACTAAGTTTTTCTTTACATTGCAAAGGAAGTTGCCAAAAGGCCCACAGGAAATTTTTTTTTTTCAAGTGAACATGATCATTTGAATCTAAGCTCAGTACAACTGAGGCATTTTAGTCATTTTTTTAGAGTCACCTCAAGGTCCAGTCCCATGGGGGTGAAATAAAAATTCCCTTGCTCTACATAAGAGGAGATTGCAGGCACTCTCCTTGAAAACAGAGTGTGGAATCAATCTTAAATAAATAAGAAATTGATTGGTCTTCAGGGACAAGAAAATTCCAACTCAGTGTGCTGAAACTTGTCTTACTTTTTAGCAAAAGAGCAAAAGTTCCAATACAATGTACAAAATAGTTACCATTCTTCAAAGATATTTGGTGACAAATGCTTTTCAGAGCTTTTAAAGTTGGTGTGGGTAGATTTTTAAGAGCCTAGAAATTAGCTCTAGAGAAAGAATGGAGAGATGCTAAGATTAGATCAGGGAAAACATACTATGAAAAACCCAGTACGGTAGAATTTAAAAGCTTTTTCTTTTGGTCTCATGCTGCTACATGAAAAGTATGGTTGTTCACAAGGCTGCATATCTTCCAAGATTATTAAAGGTATTAGCAATTTAAATTTCTATTTCAAGGCCCTTTAAATTCAATGAAATAGGTTAAAGTTTAAAAGTGTGTGATAACCTAATTAATTCAAAATAAATCATCCCATTAAAATATTCTCATATGGAATTTCATTTTGCTCTGCTTATAATTACTGTGGCCACCAAGCAAAACTCCCTCTCACCCCCAACATGTTGAGGACTTAAAGGGCTTAAAAACATAGCATATATGTTCGATATGGCATGTACGTCAACTGTTTTTGTAACCTCTTGCTTTATCCATGGCCTTGGTCATCTTTGCTATTGCATAATGAACTAGCACTTGGTTCCCCACTCTATTTTTGGCCCAGTACCAAATAAGAGGCAGTTCAAAAGGCCCTCAACATTCAACTTTTTTTATGAAAATTTGTAAAATATGAACATCGACACCTACTCCTCTCCTTAAAACTTTCCTCACCTCACCCACTTCCCCACCTGACTGACTTCCTGGTGAGTGGTTAAGAGGGAGGAAGTAAGCACCAATTGTGCATGCTCTCCCTCTCATAATTAGAATCCACTCTTGTGCAGTACATGCTGTTTCCTGCAAAAGAAATCGTAAATGTCTACAGTGTAGTAAGTATATCTGCCAGGTAATGGCATTAAAGTGATTTGCCTACATACAGCCTAGTGTTACCATATACTGATTTAATACAACAGCTAAACCACCTTTGGTAACATTTGGTTTCTCACTGATATTTTATTTTCCTACAGTTAATTATTTTTAAAACCTATCAATTGACATAGGGCTGAGGTTTCAATATTATACAAAACATTAATGACTATAATTTTCCCCAATTATTAGCATTTTTAATTTTTGGCAAACAAATCAGTAAAAATAAGGCTCTGTATTTTTTTTTAAAAGCACATAAATGACTAACTTAGAGATGTTTTAGGCAAGCTAAATACTGTTGAATAAACTAGTAAGAATTTAGCTTCAAGCATGTACTTTGATATTTGCATCTGAATTAATACATACCAACTTACACATCAAAAATTTGGGCTATACTAGGGGTTTTTACTCCTGCTCCCATTCCTGCCTCCTCTTAATTATTCTCTTCCTTAATTCTACTCTCTTCACACCCTCTCCCAGATTATTTATCTTTTTACTAGTGATGACATTACTTGGCCCAAAATATTTCTCACAATCAGGCCTTAACCATTTTTAAAAATTGCACTTCACTCTTTTATTCTGGGCTAAAAATTAAATATTTTTTCTGGAAAAGCTTCTGATTTAAGATTGATTCCAATAGATAATAAATATAAACTGCAAAAAATAAAATCAGCCTAGAGCTTTGATGAACAGGAGTTTCCTGTTTTTCCAGCAGGGAATTACTTGTAGGATGGAAAGGGGGGGATAGGGAGAGGAGGGGATTGAAAGAGGGCCTTGCTGAATATTCCCTGGAATCTCCAGGCTTTTTCCCAACAAATCTTTTGAAATGTGCCCACCTAGTTCAGAGTAAAAGCAAAAACTATAACCTTTCCTTCTTAAAAATACTGTGTTTTGCACACAAACATTCATTTCTTTAAAAACATTAAAAAATGACAGCCTGAAGTGCTTAAAATGTGTATGGACATGATGTAATACATGTATATATACACACAGATATGCATATGCACAAGCAATGTATATATACATATACAAGCATGTAGCATTTCATGAATTTGATTAAACTTGATATCCAACAGTGTACAACTACTGTACATCCAGTATGAAATGTCCTGTTTCATGGATATAAAAGGAGTCAAAAATCAAACTTCTCAGGTCTTTTAGGCCTGAACACAATCTACCCTACTCAACCTTGAATCTCAACCCCTGACTCATTGATGGTGAATGATAACCAACCACAGACAGACTGTTTAAAGGCTCACACGAATGTCTTTGGTGTATGTGTCTATTTTTAAGGTACAAAATAATAATAATAATTATAATAATAAAAATAGCTATTTTGTGTGCTGTAGCAGTTCTTTTATAGCTCACATTAAGTGCAGCTTTTATCCCTCCCACCCCCACCCAAAGAAAATACTTGTTAAATAAGGATTGGACAGGTCAAACACCATTGTAGTGCAAATAGTAAACAATAAAAAAAAAACACAACATTTACAAAATATAGAAATGTTTGGATCCAACACATGGACAAACATATTCCTTTCAAGTATCTCTCCTTGAAGAAAATAAAAATTAATCAGGTTACTTCCAATACAAAAAAGTCTCTCTGTTTGTTCTCTCTCAGGTAAACAGTTTCAAACCTATTAGGTTGCATAGTTCTAGGATCATAAGCACCTTAACGAAATATAACTTGGTATTCTTTTTTCCTTGATCTTTTACTCTTCTAGTCTTGTTCTCAATTTTTGTTGTTGTTGGCTTTTATTTTGTCTTGTTTTGTTTTGTTGCAGAAAAAGGAAGGGTGACCACCTGCACACTATTGTTCTCTTTCCAGGACGTGGATGTAGGTGGGTGTGTAGAAATGCCTGTGTGTGTGTGTGTCTGGGGAGGGTGTCAGAGTGTGCGGGGTCTGTGGCATGTGTGCATGTGTGTGGGGGGGAGGGGTAGCGTGTGTGCACGCACACTGATATACACAGAGAGAGGGTCACGCAGACATACCTTACAACCTGGGTAACTGGGTGGGAAAGAGCCTGTAACCGGCCCTTTCAAATTCATGGCTTTCTATAGATGCTATTTGGGTCGGGCCAGCCCACGTTATTGCAGACTGGACAAGTTGACTTCCAGGCTCGCCCTGAAAGGGAACTGAAAAGGAGGGGACAATACTCCTGTTCAAACGACTGATACCACTTCGATATCAGAAGAAATGAAGGGCACTCCGTTCTGCCTTTCCTTCTCAATTCCCATCTCCGTCACTGCTTCATCTCCGAGCCCTGGACAGGGAATGTTTCCACCACATCTTCCTTTATCTGGTTCAGGTTTTGTTTCTAGTTTCTTATTTTTTAAAATTTCTTATTTTTCTGGTTTTTTCTTAGAAACCTTAAACATTTCTTCATTTTGCCACCGTCCTCTCTGGACAACTCTTGTTCCCGTTCCCCCTGGGCTGGGCCCTCTACGAGCACCCACACTCCTCCACTATCATGTTCTGAATGTCCTTCTTGATGATGTTTTGCCCGTCATCATAGTACAACATGGACATGGGCCTCAGCTTGGTGGGCACACAGCACGACTTGAGGTTGGAGAAGGGGCTGTACCCCCGCATGCGGTAGTGGTTGATGACGGTTGAATGAAAGGAGAGCGATGACCCTGACGTGCCTGCTATATGGCTCGGGCACTCACCCTCGCAGTAGTTGGCATGGTAGCCAGAGGGAGCGATGATCCAGTCATTCCAGCCAATGTCCTTGAAACTAACAAAGAACTGTTTCTTACAGCAGATGTTGACCTTGCCGTCGCACTCCAAGCCCCGCCGCCGCCTCCGATGGGGGTGGTCTTCCGACTGCCGGGCCTGCAGCATGAGGAAAGGTCTGTGGGACTGCTCCTTCTCCTCGTCTCCTCCCACCCCTCCTTCTCCTCCAGCCTTTTTCTTTCCTTCCCCGTCCTCTTCTTTCTTTTTCTTCTTGCCCAGGAGCACGAGGCTGGCACCAGTCTCATGGCACTGCTCACAGGCAATCCGAATGTCCAGGGAGCTCCTGCCCTGGTCCAGCAACCGCTGGATGCTGCTGGAGACGGGGAAGATGTGCCAGGTGCTCTTGCGAGCATCCACTGCCTTTTCCGATATCAACAGTTCACTCCTCTCCTCCATTAATCCAACGGCCTCGGCCTCATCCCCTGTGTCCACGCTGCCCTGCGGGTGCTTCAGCTGCTGAAAGAGACGGATCGTGACTTTGGTCCTGTTCCTGTTGGCCTTGGGGACTTTTAGGAAGAGCCAGACTTCCGCACGCTCCACCACGGACAGGTCACTGCCCTCTTTGGAAATCTCAAAGTGCAGCGTCTTCCTGGTAGCGCCTGAGAATGAAACACAGCACAAGAGAGAGAGGGGACATGGTTAGTTCCTGCCTTTTCTGCTACTCACTCATTTCAGGCCCCCACGGGGCCTCTGTTACCCACCATCTGAAACAGGGACCAACAAAGGCAAATGAAGGCCCATAGGTTTTGACACTTTTAAATGATTGAAGAAACATTGTATTTTGTGACACGTGAAAATTACATGAAATGTAAACGTCGGTGCCAATTAATAAAGTTTTATTGGACCATGGCTCTGCTTACTTCTTTATAGGTTTGTCTGCACCTACTTTTGCACTTTAATATGAAGTTCAGTAGCTACAGCAGAGACTGGCCCACAAAGCTAAAATATGTATTCTCCGGCCCTTTACAGGGAAAGTTGCTCAACTCTTGCTCTAGATAGAGCATGGCCTAGAACTGAGTGTGTCTGGGGCTGCAAGGGGGCTGCATCTGTTCATTAATTGCTTAATCTCAGCTTCATCTTCTATCAAGTGGGGGTCACCTATGACATTTGACCCATTCTCCGATAGGTTTGGGAGGATCAAACAGAATAACACAAATAAAAACACACTGTAAGCTCTAGCAAGCTATAGCTATATTATTCCCACACAAATATGCAAAGAACCCCTTAACCCAACCCCCCGCCCCAGATGTCTGTGTGGCATAGAGCCTCCTCCTCCCTAGTCACAACCTGCTTCACTCCCATCTCTTCCTTGCTGGGTCACGGCATTTGCTTGCTCTGTAATTTGCCTCTCCAGTGGGGAATCAAGCCCTTCTGCAATCTCTTCTCCGTGAAATGGGGAAAGTCATCTTTTCCAAGGGTGGGTCTGATCATGCCACTCATTCTTTACAGTCCTTTTCTGAGTTTCTATTTCCCTCCGTTTAAAACAGGAACTGCCCAGGACACTGCACTCTGCGTTCAGCCCTCGTCCTCAGCTCTCTCTGTGTCCCATCCTCTGCAATCCAGCCCACTGTGTTCGTCTGAAGTTGGGAGCATCCCATGCATTCCTGTACCTCTGGGCTGTCACATGCCTGCAGTTTTTTCTGCCTAGAATACTCCTCTCAACACGCAACCCTCAGGGGCTGCTCTTAATAAGAGCAGATTGCAGAAGAGACAACACCACTTACTCTAGAAGCCTTCCCTAACATCTCCTGCCAGTCTAGCCTAGGATACCCAGGTCTGAGGTCCTACCTATGGTGCACAGTGTTTAGCAGAAAGTAGGCAATTCATTTATTTCTTTTAACGGGTGGCAGCATCCTTAGCATTGAGTATTTTATATTAAGAGATCTACCTGCTACCTCTAAATCCCCCATTTTTGTCTCCTTCCTTTAATGCAACTGAATAAGCACCAGTTATAACAACTGCTCTAGCAGAGGGAAATTCCCTACATTGGTGGAGTGATTGGATTCTGCAACCACTCCGTTTTTGCCTAACTCAAACATAAGAAAGTCACCTGTTCTCTTCTCATTCCACTAGAACCTATCTATGTATTCATGGGCAACCAGCACGCTAAGGTACAGGTGTTCAGACTAGAATTTTTGATTGATGAAATATTTTTCCTCACTTGCACTTCACCACTGGGTAGTATATGAAACATGCCCTCTTTTCATGACCCCCTCTGGCAAGTACCTGCTTATAGCTGTCTGGCATACATGCATTCCGTGTACAAACCTGAGAACAGTTTCAAATAAGTTCATCTCAGAACTTACAATTCCCTAGGAGGGTCCTCTGCCTGGATTTCTATAGCTAACGGAAATCCGGCCGTACTTATCACTCTCCACCCTGAGATGTTTACGGTACCATAAATTCTAGGCACAGTTTCAAGTTCCCTGCAGCAGAAGGCAGCTTTTCTGTGCATTGTGCACTGCAGATTCTGTTCTTAATTTAACACACTCTTCACACAGTGATTATGATGGTGGTAAATTCACTGAGGTCAGGGCCAAGGAGGGCTGCATAGGAAAGGTTCTCTGGCATTGTTATATAAACTTGCTAGGACCCTGGTCTTGATGGCAGTGGTGAGGAGCGCTCCTTTGACCTTGGGTCGCTGGCAGACGTTGAAATGAATAGAAAGCTGCGTTTATGATCAGATCACCAGAGTGAGGAGCAGTGAGAGGGGAAGCTGTCTTTTTTTACGAAGCATGATGACTTTTTTAAAAAGTGAATCCAGGATTCCCCTTTGCTAAAAACTGGTGGGGTTTTTTGTCGTTGTTCAGTTTTGTTTTGTTGTTTTAAGAAAGCAAAGAGAAGATTCCAGGAAGAGAGCGTAGTCATTTAAATTTAGGAAGACCATCAGCAGCTGGCTTTAAGGTGGTAGGTAGGGTTTTCCCAAGACCAGACGTAAAGGCTGCCAAAGCCTCCCAGGCCTCTGAAGACCAGCCCACAGGAGTGGCAGGCTCCCCACACCGAGGCCACAGGCCCTGCATTGGAGAATGTTAACCAGTCCCTCCTGCTCTCCCTTCTGCCTCTAAGCAGGCCAGCTTCTGAAACCCTCAACTGTGTAGGATGCCACTCTAAAGACAGAGAGATCATAGCTGCTAAAATAGAGGAGCCAGAGGGCACACCGTTGTGTTTTGTTTTTCTCTCTGTGTGTGTGTGTGTGTGTGTGTGTGTGTGTGTGTGTGTGTGTGTTTCTAGGCACGAGTTTGAAACCGAAGCATCTGATCTGTCCCCAGGATGGGAGCACTGGGTCTCAGATAACTCATGCCCACAGGTTCTGCTCTGCTCTGCCCCATGCTTGACTGGAGGGGCTCAGGGCGAAGGTAGATGGCCCTCAGGTAAGAGAGGGGACAGGTGGCAATTTGAACCCACACTTTGGACTTGCCATGAATAAAGTGCAGAGATGTTTATAGACACTGGGGGGTGAGAGGTAGAGGGAGGGGGGTCGAGGGAGGGCTCCTTGGAGATGAGCCAGCGGCAGCATATGCAAATGGATTTGTAGGGCCCCAGGCTGCTTACTTCCAGCAGCAGCCTATAGGACAGCCTCTTGTTTCACAAGATCAGGTTTCTAATGCATGAGATAGCCCCACCCCTTCTTCACAGGCTGCTGTACTCAGAAGCAAATGATTTCGTGTTCCTGAGAGAGGATTGTACAAAGAGAGTACTCATTAGAGGGGACTCAATCTGTCAGGTGCTGTTATACTGGGATCAGAGAGTCATCAGAAAATGACTTTCATCCTGGTCCTGGCGGAGAAGTGGCTGTATGGCACCCCCTGGCACTGCGGGGAGAAGCGGCGCTGATTTATGCACTGGTTTCATTAACTGAGCTGAAGACGGTTCCCTGCATTCCCGTCCGTTGCCTGCATGCTGTATCTCTCCCCCATATTTCTGACATTTGGATTTTCCCCTCACTAATTGACATGCCTGTCGCCTCCTTCTCCTGGTGTCCATTTCTGGAACTGCTATTTGTATATTGCATGATATTTTGTCAGGAATAAAATAAAACTGAGATCCCATTTCGTGAAAATGCTGTTGCCATAATGCTCAGGAGAACAGGGGGAAGAGAGAGAATCAAGTCTTCTTAAAATCTACCTTACATGCAGGTACATTTTAAAAGTTCTATTGTGTTCTGACTTATTAAACAGTGCATAATATTTTTTCTTTTACATTTAGCTTTCATTGCAGAAGGGGGTGGGGAGAATGGGACAGCTAGAAGCTCAGATGAAATTAATATTTGTCAAGGTTGTAGGCTTCAGGAAGGAATTATAGCCTTCCAATTTCTTAGGTATGAAAAATATAACTAGCTTCTTGATTCTTGTCCCTTTATGTGTATATTACCTGAGAGAGATTGCTATACTGCAGTGATGTTTTCAGAATGGTTCTCTCTTCAAATCTGTGTGCGTAACAATTTGAAAACTAGAAGGTTACCTAAGGCTCAATTACTAATTGAGGATCAATTACTAATCAGTTTCAGGACTGACTTAAATATCTCCTGCTGTAAAATCCTGAAATGGAAGCCTTCCCATGATGCTTTGTGGGCAGGTGCAGCATTTTAGTTTCTACTGGTGCACACTGGGTTCCTCCGCTATTACCTATTTAATAAGATACCGCTAGTGGCTTTGCTAACCTTTCATCACCTACTCTGATAATATCCTTTTCAGCCCCTATGCTATTTTTTCCTCCCTGAGGCTTGTGAGCAAGGCTTGCATCACAGCCTGCTCTGCCTGAGTAATTCACTAAGAAAGTCCCACACAAATCCATGTGGGTGATAATATTTCATCACTTAAACCTCAGTGGACATATACCAACGGGAGATTTTTTTTAAAAATGCCTAAAAATGGGTAGGAGAGCTAAATTGTGCATCTTCCAGGGAACACCGTTGAAATGTTGCCGGTGGGTGGGATTAGAAAGAGGAAAGACTGTGGGAGCTGGAAGTAACGACACCTGAAAACAGGCTGTCCTCTGCTTTCGGGATTTTTCAAATGATTGTAGTATCCCCATCAAAAAAGGGTTAAGCTGCCCAGCCCCTCGTTATTCCCTTCCCCCACTCCAGGATGCTGCTCATCCCCCAAGTCCAGTAACTCAACTCTGTGGGCGGAGAGGCATTAGAACATTTCCAATGAATTAAGCAATGCACTCAGTGTTTCCTTTTTGTTTTGCTTTCCTCACCAGGGTCCTGCGTAAAGTACGATGCCCTTCTATCTATGGGTACCATGTCTAATGTCAATGTGGAAAGCCTTGTTGTTTATAGAGGATGTAAACTCATCTGGTGGGGAAGAGCCTCCCTGTAAAATATGACTGTTAATTTAATGTCCCATTCTTCGCCAAGGTTTCCCTGTGCCGAGGTGTGGTATAGTCACTGGTGGGAGCATACAGAGCCACCAGTGACAGCGTGTGTGTTTCCTGAAGCACTAACTTTGCACTTGGACTGCCTCCGGGGGTTTCTGCATAAGTAGCCAGTGGGGACAGAGCAGTTATGCCTCCTTTCACCTGCGGTCCAGGGTCCTGTCTGTAGCAAAACTGCACATTTGGTCATAAATGATCTTGATTGATTTTTCAGCCCTAA